TCATCATCACCGTCATTATTATTATTATTATTATTATTATTATTATTATTATTGTTATTATAAACATCATCCGAGTCATCCGAGTGATCCAGTTCGTCAACAACATCGTAGTTATCATCATCATTAAGATTATCCTTATTCATACGTTTCAGTCATTCGCGAATGATCAATATTCCCTTGTGTTTCAATAAAACCTACTTTGCTCAGCGTGCAGAATAAATTGCACCTTTCTGTTCTGTTTTAGATGGAACCGAGGTAATGCGAGTAAACCAATCGCAACGATAAACTCATGTGAAGAGCTGCGCAAGGCAGTTGTTGACACATTCAAGTTACAATTTCGTTATATGAAAACAGCTGAGCAAGCCTTTTTCTGAATGGATTTGACTGTGATCTTACTCATTCTAGGCATGTCATTTCGGTTGGTGACGTAAAAGGATTTTTTAGCTCGCCCAACAGCTGACAATGCACCATCCACGACTGTACAGTGCACAGTGGTTGTTCAGTACTTTAGGATCAAAAGAACAATCAGTTTATCTTCCAGTTCTTAAACACAGGTTTCATGACAAGGTCACTCCTTATCCTTCATGGTGGGGGCACCAACACTGTCATTCTATTGGAGCATGTGGTTCAATAAACCAAGAAATTGGGTTGTTGGACCATATAACCGAACATTACATACTATTTACTTTGGATTTCTTTTTTACTCCTCGACGTTTGGAGACGTACAATAAAACACTATTTTTTCTCATTATATGGACAACACTTTGAACACACGCTGAGACATTCGAGCATACCGATTCCATAAACATGAGTTCGGTAGTACCAAACGCTCAGGGATTGGAAAATGGAAAATTGTAGTAACAGCATCGCTTTTCAGTTGTATGATCCTGTCGATTCCGCGTTGTGATCACAGGATTTTAGCTGACTATCATCTTAGTAGTATGCCAATAAAGTGCTTTTTACTGGACTTACTGTGTTCATCAGTTTGGACACCGCTGGTCCGTGGTTCACTTTGGTTTGGTTCTCCCGCTCACGAATAAAATGAATCATTTTCTTCGCACGGCAAATCTGTTCGCCTGTTTCGAAGAGATCCGTATTGTCACTAACGGATATGAGCTGGGATTTGAAACATGTGTATTATTACTACCGATACCTGTTTTTCGGTAGTCGGGTTCCACTCGCAATTTTATCGACAAGATTTCGGATACAACTACAACGAAGTAGTCTGAGGATTCTTGCGATATCCACCAGATATTCCGGGACAGAATAATGGGTTCTTTATTGTATCCGCTGTTTGACTCCAGACCCAAAATTTTTCGTGAAACTGTGACTAGCTTGTATTAGATTACATGCTTCAGTCCATGTAACCTAATTTTCACTCTACCTAAGTTATTGCGACAAAATTATGTTCTCAGATCGGCACTAGACCTGTGGATTCATGACAGTACGAGGTAGTGCCACTAGTGTTCCCAACAAAAGAATCCCGATTTTTTCGCTCTCGCGAAATTCGTTTGAAATCCCAATCAAACTAGCAATAGCTTTGTTTATGGATAATTGTGATAAGTTGAATTAGTTGAACATTTCCGGCCATGTGAACAATCAGTTATCTTTTTTCCGATACTTCGAGTACATTCGAGTACACATGATCGATCGATTTGTCAGAGAAACACTATGTCTCAATTGCAATAATCGGGGTTCAATAATAATACGATCAAACTCAATGAACACCCGTTGGTTTGAAATTTCAATTTATCCAGAATAAGACGTCCATTGGAGTAGGAATAGTTCAAATAGCAGAATAAGAATTTCACGAGCTAGTTTAAGTAATCCTTGACTGATGCTCTCATCTAACATGAGACTTAGATATTAGTTGTTTTGTCACCAGATCTGTCATAACGTCACTCGCTTCACAAAACAAATATATCTGCAACATCTCTTTGTCTGACTTTAAAAGATATCAGATATTAATTTGTTTAGATGCAAGATGTTCAGATGCAGATTTTAAGGTTCTCTTTTCCTCGTAATCCCAGGGTAATGGATTTCAAAAGTAAAACGAACTGTTGATGAAAATGTGAATAATACAAATATAACTAGCCACAAGACGGGTTCAGCTCCACCAAAAAAGATTAAAACAATTAATGGATGTGCATGTCTGTACGGATACAGCAAAGATGCCACACCTTTGGTTATCTATTATTTTAATTAAAAAACCGAGGAGTGTCTGTTGGATTAATTATACTTGATTTTCAAAAGAACTAGAGGATACAGTAGGTTAAGATCTATGAAAAACAGAAAATTTTGGGCTGAATTAGAATTATTGTTTCTCTTATGATGCTGGACACAGTTTTGTAATATAGATAGATAGATAGATAGATAGATAGATAGATAGATAGATAGATAGATAGATAGATAGATAGATAAAGTGATTTAAACATCAATCGCTTTTTCGATTGATTGATGGCCTGAACGACCTCCTAACTTGGGATCCTAGATAATAACCTCTCGCTGAGTATTTCAAGATAAACGCACTCAAACTTTAGGCTTTCTCCACAAATACGAATCAAAACCCGAAGCGAACAACAGATTTTGGTGTGGTTATTTGGTAACATCATGATTGTGAAATGGATCACACATGACAGCATATGGGTCACAATTTTCTTAGCATTCTAACTGCAATGAGATCAGTTAGCGGCTCGAATACACACAAGTGATAATCCAACATTTATATATAGTTTTTTTATTTATCAATCGCTACATCATTCTTCCCATAGGAATCGGTGTACTAACCATCATGATAAAATTTCCACTGTCAGCTGCCAGAACAAAAGGCTTCTCAGAAGAGGATAATGCACAGGGCAGTTATGCCCGATTCATCAAGGCTGACACATATGGATGTGTGATTCTGCACTGAAGTGGAATGGGAACAGATGTCATGACACAAAAGCAGCCCAAATAAAGATCATAACTGATATGATGGAGGCACGAATGGTGTTCTTTAGCATCCCAGTTAAATGAATGCATTTTGGATTCAATCACATGCCCATTTTTGCGTGATCTTTTCTTCCTAGAGAGGTGGGAGTCAATTTTATAAACATACTGCAGTCTGTTCTCATACACAAGGATAATGGCAGGAATGGGAATGAACAACCGGTTCCTTTTAAGAAAAAACAATTGTAAATTTAGTACAACCCTAACATAAGATTGTGGTCAATCGTTATCTGATAAACAACGCTGTGAGTTATCCGCGTACGTTTTAGCAAATTTCGTGACTTGCTCGAATCGATCCATTGAGTTACCCGATTGTTGGAGCACTGTAATGTGCAATTGTGTAGGTTTGAATCTCCGCGAGGCCACTAACTTCCACACAAATGAATTAGGCTAATATCGAATCTGATTCCACAGCTTTTGTGAACTATTGTGTTCAAGTGACTGCTGCGGGCCAATTACGATCACTGCATTAACGGAACACTCAGTCCTAGATAAGGAATGTCCCAAACCAGTGTTGAAATGATATTGTTTCATAAAGTCTGCTCTGATGCATTGAATCCATGCGCAAGATGTGCCGGTACGGATAGTTTGATGCAGAGGGCTACCGTACTCCACGAATATCTTGGTGTATTTCTGAATCACAACATTCGCTGGAATGCCTTGTTGGAGAAAGTAATATTAGACATCGCGAAACTGATGCATTTGAGTAGTCGTACATTAAATGGTTATCGCTAAGTGATTCGTCTTGTCGTGGCTTGGTGTCATTGAAACCCATTTGGAGCGCTTTTTTAGGCTGCTTGTTTCATACATCTCGTTAGAAAGAGTTGTCATCAGTGAAGCACTTTCAGCGTGTGTGTGTGTGTGTGTCGTTGTGACGACCGGAGCTGTGTAGTGCAGGACAGAGAGTCCCATCCACCNGTCTAGCCAGGTTGATTCTAACAGCTGGTGACACTTCAAACTATTTGGGTGGAACCTTTGCGTTACATGATGCTTCCCTCTCTAACGAGCAGGAATGAATTCAGTTTTGATCGATACACTACGCTTTTCATCTTGGCAAAGAAGTACTGTACTGTACTCGCAACACGTAAATGACAACAGATTCGCTCCACATAATTAATTACACATCTGTTTCATATAAAATTAAGATAGATAAACATACTGCTCTTAATACAAATAAATAATACATGGAAACTTCTGAATCGTCAATAAGATGACGTTTGAAATCGAGCAACAGTTAGAATATCGTCTCGTATTTGGAACACAACAGTCAACGAGGAAACATAATGGCATGCAGCTTAAGGGGGTCGATAAATGAATAACAAAAAATCTCTTTGTTCAGGTATAAGACTTACTTACTGTAATCAGGCAATTGAAATGGGTGGCTTGGTGCTCACAAAATTGTTTACGACAGCTTTGGACTGCAATCGATCAATATCCGTCAAATGAAAGAGCATTGTTCCCGTGTCTTCCATGGCCTGATTCTGATAGTGTTGATGCATAAGTCGATCG